AACACTCACGCCTGTCACCCAGAGGGGTAGGCAGAGACTACGGACTTCCATTTGGCACGATCCTGACATACCTCTTTCGCCTCCTTTACATCCATATATCTACGCATACATGCTCGTCGGTTAAGGGTAATTCTAACGTGGCCCATTTTCAAAATATCGCCAATTTGGTGGATAAACTTTTTTCTACGGCGTCCCTTCCTGACTCTGCCGTTCACATCTGCACATATAAATTTGCTTTGTCACTCTTTCCTCATTCATTCTTTCTACATGACCAAACCACCGAAGCATTCCTTTCTTAATTCTGGTCACAACATCATCTTGCGTACCACATTTATCTCTTATTACGCAATTTCTCACCCTGTCATTCAGATTCAACCCTAGCATATTCCTTAAAGACCGCATCTCTACAGCATTTATTCTACTTTCGTGCTTCTTCTGCCACACCCAGATTTCACTACCATACATTAAAGTAGGGACTAACACAGCATTATGAATTACCATACGTGCATTTTTTGACACATTCCGGTTCTTCATAATAGAGTGTAGTGCCCCATTCACTCTGTTCCCTGCATTTACTCGTCGTTCTATATCCTTATCATATCTACCATCCCTGCTAAATACACATCCCAAATACGCAAACTCATCCACTTGCTCAATTAACTCTCCTTCTATTCTTATTTCACATACCGTTTTGCTTTCTTCTCTTTCAAAAACCATCACTTTCGTCTTACTTGCGTTCACTTTCATTCCCCTTTCTTTCAATTCCCAGTTCATTAATGTAACCATCATTTGCAACTCAGCTGCCGATGACGCAAATATGACTTGATCATCGGCATACAAAAGGCATTTGACGGTTAACTCGCCCATTCTTAACCCACATTCTTCATCTTTCAAAGTTTGCAAACACCTGTCCATAAATAGGTTGAACAGCCAAGGAGAAGCTACACAGCCCTGTCTGACACCTTTATGGATGCCAAACCAGTCCGAGTAGACCCCATTGATCCTGACACAAGCACTAGAGTCCCTATAAAGATACCTTAATGCCTGTATTAAACCAGCGCTCAACCCATATGAGTTCAGTATTTGCCATAACACATTCCTGTCCACTCTGTTATAAGCCTTTTCCAAGTCCATGAACGCACAAAAAACTTTCTGGTTTTTGGCCAAAAACTTCTCCGCAATCATGCGCATGGAAAAGACTTGATCTGAACACCCCATTCCATTTCTACACCCCGCTTGCACATCCCAAATTTTTCCATCAGTTTCTTTCATAACTCTTTCAATTAACACCTTAGCATACAGTTTAACCACAATACTAAGCAGGCTGATACCCCGGTAGTTTTTGCAGTCCTGCTGTGACCCTTTATATATTGGTACTATAACTACTTTACACCAGTCATCCGGTACCCGTTTTAATTCCCAACATAAATTAAACAATGTGTACAGCAAGCCTGCCACCACTCCCTCTCCAGCCCTTAGCATCTCGAGTGATACTCTATCATATCCAGCTGCCTTACCTGCTTTCATGCTTTTCATTGCTTTCATTATTTCATCTACACTTATCTCCATACCCCTTTCCACTTCTTTCGGAATTTATAGTTCATTTAATTCAGACGACTCTTCATTCATAAACACGCTTTCAAAGTATTCCTTCCATCTGTTTAAATTCGAGACTTCATCATTCAGAATACATCCATTCTCGTCTCTTATAGCATTAATTACTATTTTGTATTTCCCCTGTTGGCTGTTTTGTATTTCCCCTGGCAGATCTTACGAGTTTCCAGAACATTTTTATATTAGCCTGGAAATGATCAAATATCCTTTTATCATTCTTATCCGTTCTTTCTTTCTTTTTCCTTTCAACTACTTCTATTATTCTCTTATTTAGACGTCTAAATTCTGCCTTTTCCTTTCAATCTCATCATTCATACCAGAAGAAGCTTTTATTGCTAGTAAATCTAACCATGCTTTCTTCTTTGATTCAACTTCCACCCGTATCTCATCATCCTACCACAACGTATTACTTTTCCATTCATTTGTTCTCTTACTTACACCACATACTTTGGTGGCTGCATCCACCAAACCTTTGTTAACATTATCCCACACAGTATTCAAGTCTAAATCATTCATACATAACTCATTCAAACATCTAATATTTTCTCTCAGTCTACATTTATACTTCTCTTTCACATCTTCATCTTGTAACTTCTCTACTCTTATACGCTGTAACGCAGTGGTAGACACAGATGTCCGATGCCGCCAACGCTTGAAAAGACCATTAATTCGATATAAGACCAAGTAATGATCCGTCCCTACGTTGGACCCCCGGTAAACCCTTGTATCTACGACTGCGCTCCTCATTCTTTCATCCACAATTACGAAATCTATCATGCTTCTATCATCACCTCTTTCCCATATATACATGTGAATCTTCTTATGACGAAAAAAAAGTATTCGTCACAAAAAGATTCTTTTCCACACATACGGTGAGGAGGTCTTCACCATTCTCATTTATACTTTCATCACCAAACGTTCCCAATATCCTTTCATAACCAGACCTCTTCACTCCAACCCTTCCATTAAAGTCTCCTAACATAATAATATTTTAATTTTCCTTATATTTTGTCAAACCCATCCTTACCATGTCCCAAAACTGCTCTCGGATGTAAGTGGGCTTAGACATGTCTGGGGCGTACACCCCTAGCAGGAACACTTTTTTATTAAGCCCACTTTCATTCGTATCCATAGCAGTCTCGGGCTTACACATTCATACTCTTTCACACATTGACCCATTCTTTCTGAAAGAATGAAACCGACTCCCTGGCATGCCCCTTCGGTATCGTCTACACCAGACCAATACGCGGTATACGTGCCATGTGCAGTGGCATCCTTTTCCTTTCGTTTCGTCTCATTCACTAACACATCTATTCCTCTGTCATTCATTATTTCGCATACTTCATCCATCTTATCATTCATTCCTCCACATTCATTCAGCGTAGCCAGACGGGTTTCCGCAATCCACTTTTCGCCCCTCCGGGAGACAGAACGTGACGGGTGGCGAACCTTGTCGGCGGTTTTTCTACCGGAGATTCTTCGCACCCCTGCCCCATTAAAGGGGCGCCGGGAACGCGGGGCCATTTCTTTTATTTCCTGACTCATGGTGCGGACAAGGGGTGGTGGTAGATTTTACGCCGCTACCATACGGCGAGGAGCCGAGTCTATTTTTTCGGCTTTGTCGCTCGTTTAGCACCACCCGGGGAACACGTGTAGGGTGGGCCTAAGGTTAGGTGTTCGAAGCCTACGGACGCGAGCGACTCATCCCCCGTGCTTAACATTAATATTATGTATCATTTACATAATACATAATATTAATGTTAAGCACTGAAACTTGCCAATAAATATTTCTTTAATTTGTTTTTGAATATTATGTTTTTTACTGGTTCATGTCGAATGTCCTCAGGCAAACTATTGAAAAAATATGGTAGTCGTTTATTTAAAATTCTATACCTGAAGTAGTTATTTACTTTAGGTACAACAAATGTGCCTGCAGACATCAACCGTGTACCATGACCATGCTTGACCAATATTAGAGTACGGTCTCGACAGCTGTAACTGTTTATGGTAAGTTGTAGTTATTAGTATATATTAGTATATTACTTACTGGGAGTATTTTGCAGATTTTAAACAGTTTTGTGAATTCATATTTACACATAGCTTTATTTTTTTTAACTAGTAACTTTAAAAATCAAATTTGTAGTGCATAACTATCAAGAGCGTATCCCAAAGTCGAATCTACAATTTTAAAGTAGCAGAAGGAACTTTAAAACAAAATTTACTTACAAGTAATGTTAACTTATTACATACATAATAATCTACATGGCTGGACTACGAGAAGTTAGTATCAACTTCAACACCGAGGTAGGTTACACAATCGACTTTTTCAATAGCCTCACATCGACTATTATTCAGACCATTATGGAGGCTCTCAAAATTATGAGTATACATTTGTGGAGACGAGTCAGTAAACTTGGTTTTATCTGAGTTTAAGACGATACCATTATCATGGGACCATTTAACTACTGAGTTATATCTTGCTGTACTAGGTAACATGTCTCCACAAGATTAGTACCACCACTTAATGTACATAGGTCATCTGCGAACAGGTATGCAGAGCTACGCTGAAGTACGCCACATGGGTTGTTAATATGCAGTAAGTAGAAAATAGGCCCACATCCCGAGCCTTGCGGGGTGCCACCCGCACTTCACCTCAGTTGCCTCACTAAGCATGTTGCCAATCTTTACACGGAAAATGCGTGATGCAAGATAGTCACGGAACCACTGGTTTAGCGGCTGTTCCACGCCGCATTCGTACCCTTTCCATTTAAAAGTGTTTCTGTTTCTAAGGTATCAAATGTTTTTTTGAAACGTAAAAAATAGCAACTACAAATTGTTTAACTCCTAAATATGAGTTAATTTCGTCAGTAAATTTTGATAATAATGTATTCGTACTTTTGTCGCTTTGAAAACCATGTTAGCATTCATTTAATAGGTTATTTTTTTGTAAATAAAACCCAAGTAGATTTGTTATACATTTGTCGATAATTTTATCGATACTAGATAATATAGCAATTGGTATATAGTTTGAAAAGAAATTACGATCACCCTTTTTATGGACTGGACGATATATAGCTTTTTTTTAATGTATTCGGAAATCTATGGTGCTTTACCGCCATGTTAACTATATTAGCTATGACAGGACTTATTTTGTCAACAACTAACTTTAAGTCTGACATCCGTACGAGATCAGTTCCCGCCGATTCATTTTTATCTTTGCGATACGTTTCTCGATTCTTTTCTCCAGGCTGGGATGTCTAGTAGCGCGTCCAGCCACGGGAAGTTTGGCACCAATAATAAGTCAAACTGCCACTGCGGCGCCAAAAATAATTGAGTCCGTCTCACAAAAGTTCTAGCTGGCTTCCAAATAGGTCACCAGCATTGGTTTAAGAACCCTTCACGACTGTCCGATTTCGCTTGCTTAGGGGTATGTGGGGAAGTTGCGGTTGATTTTCGAGAGGCACGCTGCGCGTTTCCAAAATGGCCTCTTCTAATATGCTCCTCATTTGCTCTAGTTCGTGGGAGACTATTTCATCATCGTCCGAATCAACCACAACTGGAAGATCCATAGCTACTTCCATATGTGGATGCTGATCTGTCGCCAGAGGAGGCGCATCCCCAGCCATAGCCGATTCATTCGATGAGGGAATACGCCACTCACGCCGTAGTCGTTCGAGTTCGGCATCATCAAATATTTTCGAGCATATGATGTACCGTACTTGGTCTGCCAGGTTTTATTCCGTAACGGGAATAGACGGCTCCAGCTCAGCAAAAAGCAGCGGCCTGCGTCCAGCGCTAGCTCCATACGCGCCCTGGCGACCCCCAGGCAGCGGCCCTATTCAATTTTTTTTCTCCATCATCAATTTATGGACGTCAATTAACGGGAAATGCCCAGGCCCGGCCCCATTTCATTGTATGGCCGTAAGCATAAACGGGCCTTTGTTCAGTGTAAGTTCTGCCGAGGCATGGCGCTCTCACCTCTTGGCAAGGCGCTGACTGACTGCACTTACGTAGCAGTTTTGTCACTTAACTGTTACGTCAGCGGGCGATGGGGTAGTCATTTTCCTACGCCTTGTATACAGTACAGTACGCTTTATACAGTAGTATTTAATAATAATTATTATTACTTTTATGTATTTATTCAGTCCAACCTGATGACCCTATTAATACCCCGAAATAATAATATCTGAAAATTTTAAAACACATATTGTAAATTGAGTCTAATTATTATTGCACATATCTAAAATACATTTTTATATAATATAATGTTATAAATGTTAAGTTCGTTACCAAATTTGTTAAAGATCAGAACATGCACATTAAATTTATTATATTTTTGTGACTTAAAGAATAGCTTAAATATTAGCTTATGCGGATCCCTACGTGAACGAGAAGACTGTACTTCACAGTTTAAAAAATTGTTTATGACATTGCCCAATATTAAAAATTTCAAAAATGTGAAGTGATGGCAGTGGCAGTACACCATCATCTTTATATAGCGGCTGACAGGATTCATAAGGACAAATTACGCAGATTGCCGTTGTGAACTTGTTCTGCACAAAGAAATGCCCGATTTTAATAAACGCCAAACAACATTTTTATTTATTTTAACAAAACTTTGTTCTGTATTAAAAAAAAAACTGGTGTATGAAAACTTAGACATGATTATTTACTATGCTTTAAAAAATAATTCCTTAAAATTATTCGTAAAAATATTGTGGTGTCATCAAGAAATGTAAATAATTAGAGTCTATTTTGCAATTTTTTTCAATCGAGAAAATTACCTGATATCGTGTTTTCCTTTTATACAAATCAAGGGCATATAGTCAAAAATTATATACCAAAATTTTGGTTTGTAATCTATAAAACTTTAAAAAATATGTTAAATAGAAAAACCACCAAATTTTCGAGGTTATCACCTTAAGATAGCTGCTTGGCGTGATTGTTCCCTCCATTTAAACTTACGAGTAAATATTATTATAACATAATTATTTTTATTTTTTAGTAATTCTGTACTATATTCTCTTTTTTTGTTGATAATATGGGTGCAATATGCCTGAAATAAAGAGAATTTATTTATTTATAATGTTTATTTAATAGATTTTTTTAAATTTATACAGTTTTTTAACAAATATGTAAATCGTACAATATATTTCAGGATGTAGTTTGCCAACACCTTACCTGGGACCTGATAGTGAGTGGTTACTGTACTCTATAGACACCTACAACCAATTTAAGACAGAAGAAGGTTACAAATGCGTTTTCACTCCTGAGGACTTCGATGCAATGCCTCCCAGCCTGTACTTTTACTGGCTCCCTTTTCGCTTCAGACCGGAACAGAGGAATATAAGCAGTGCTATTTTGCAGCAGAAGTAGGTAAGAGTGTTGTACCTACCTAAACAAACTCTTAGGCAGAAATTGAGTTTTTATAATTATTATTGTTCTAATGGAGTTAGCATTAAGCGCTCAAAAACTATCTTTCCGGGATAACATTTAAACTAGTATTTTTAGAGCTAATGCTTTTTGCATTTACAAACATTAACCAATTGGGTAGTTAAGGGCCTATAAAACCTCAGCTCAAATTCTAATTTCACCCCCACCCCCAACGCGTCGTACGCTCTCTACCGACATGTTTGGAATCACTATTACTGTAAGTAGATACGTCATTAGGTACTTATTTTATTATGTTTATCATATTTATGCCTGTTTCTTTACGCCAACCCAGCCGCTTCTTATTTTTATTACGGTTATTTTCCATTTTAAATTTACGTCGTCCTGTTGCGTAATGTGTATTTTGATCGTAAGCGACACAGCTTTGCGACACAGCATCTGAGTGGAAGTATCGGGCGGCATAGAACAAACTTCTGGACGTCGATAGTTTAGGTAATTTCGTTTTACAGTGAAAATAACGGTAATTTAAAAAAAAAAAAAAAAAAAACATAAGCCCTGCTTTATAGTTAGTTTAGCTATTATCCAAAGTTACATGATCTAATTTAAAGTATTTTGTGAATAACAGCGGTTTATTGTTCGGTTTGGAGGTAACTTTGGATTTTTTTTTCTAGAAAATTTTACGGAATCGAGTTTTCATCTAACATAGTACTTAACATTAATCCTCTAATTTACCATATATTTATTTTAAAATTAATGTTGCAATATTTTCAGCATAACGGAGGATCTTGCTAAGCCATTTAAGTAGTATAAGCCCCTAAAATGTCTTCTGCAGGGCTCCGCTGCAATGAAAATGTCTAAACAAATGTTATAAGTGTTCGTTATAATTTTTCTTTTCTCATCTTTGTCAATCCGTAAGCAGTTCTTTGTTAACATAGACTTCTCTTTTAGTAGTTAGTAAGTACTGTAATCACCACAATTGAATAATGGACTGGTGATCCTATGTATCGTATCATTGACGCTATTTTCTTTGTTTACTTAGTAAGAACGATTTTTATTTATTTTTTTCATTTAATTCTGTTCAAGCCTTACAAAGAATTATTTCCTTGTATGACAAGGGGACCCGAAAGACACGTCTCACAAAATAATTAAAAATTGTTTCATAGGAAATTCACTTTTCCTATCTAAAGGACCGTTTTAACGAAGGAACGAAAATTCAATAACATGTAAATTTCCCGTTCCTGAATTTAAACGAAAACTTTGAAAAGAAGTGTTCAGTACCGAACAAATTGACTTAAGAGATCGGGCAAAATAACGTCGGGTTTTATTTTAGAACTACGTTGGCAACAATATGTCACATATTGGCCGGCGACGCACCTGCAATTCTCCTAGTGTTGCAGTTGTTCATGAGCGGCGGTAGTCACTTACCATCAGATGAGCCGTATGCTCGTTTGAGCCCTCTCCTTTAAAAATATATATAAATAAAATGAAATTGTCTGTTTGTAATATTTAAATAACTGCCTTTTATCGAACTCAGCGGGTTATATGCATGCCACAATTTTTTTTTCGGAACACTAACAGTTTTTATATTTTTAACTCATTAAAAAAATTTAAACCTGCTCGTATGTAGCTATTAAAGCGCATACGAAAGACATCAATAACCATTTATTTTATATTTAAAATGTTTACTAACGTCTTCTTAATAATGTCCTCCCGATCGAATTTCGGTCATGGCGGCCTGCCTCAACGGAGACTAGCCATCGGCGCAGGACAGGATTATAGTGTCCAAGTGTACGCGTAAGCATAGGTGAAATGTCTATTCACTCACTCTCATAATCCGATAGGATGGTAAACCGACATGACCGAAGAGAGATCAGGCGCAGGACCAATGGCTTTACATGGTTTCCGAGGCACGGGGGTGAGACACCGCCAACTTCCTGACTCCGGGCAGCTACTGAAAATTTCTTGACGGAAAACTCAATAATTAATTTTTTGGCCCGACCCGGGACTCGAACCCAGGACCTCATGATCAGCAGTTGTACTACTACATCCATTAGACCAACGAGGCAGTATTCTAAATAGTCAATGCAATCAACCCCCATTTCATGTTATTCGATTATGATACGTTATTGACTGCCTCTTTAGTCTAGTGGTCGTAAGCACGGTTGCTGATCATGATGTCTTGGATTTGAAAATCAGTTATTGGGTTTTTCAGTCAAGAAATTTTCAGTAGCAGCCTAGAGTCAGGACGTTGGCGGTGTTTTACCCCCGTGCCTCGAAAATCCCGTAAAGTCGTAGGTCCTGCGCCTGATTTCTCTCCGGTCGTATCGAATTGCGATCCCATCGGATTATGAGAATAAGGAAATAGAGTGTGCACCCATGCTTTCTCACACACTCGATTACCATAATTCTCTCCTGCGCACATGGCTATTCTCCGTTGAGACTGGCCGCCGTGACCGAAGTTTGGTTGCAAGGACATTATAACCCCCTCAGCTCATTTATACTCGTATGTATTGATAAATTTCCGAATAGTTTTAAGATTTTAATAACAGAAATTTAAAAATAAATTGAAATTCTTTTTGACGGATATGGTTGGCCGCATTCTATGAAATTGTCTGTTCGTTCCGCGTTCCGTTCAATATTTAATCTTTCATATTATATAAAATAAAAATGAGTAAAGTTGATATGTACTAAGAAGATATGAAAAAGAAACTAAGGAAACAATTATATATTAAGGTAACAATTACTGTAATTCATAAATAGGTAAGGTTTCTTCTGTCGTAATCTTCAATGATAAGAAGTTAACGATAATTCGTTTGCACGTACTGGCGGCGTAAATGAACTCATCACATCGTTATGTTCTGGGAATATAGTAAGACGTCACTATGGAAAGCGTTAGAAAAATTCAATCGCTTTTGCTATACGACGGTATAAACATATCCGTTACGTCAGAGCAGACATAAAATATCCAGACCGGCTACGAGCAGCAACGTAACAAAGCAACACGTGCCGCCAACGTATTGGACTCCTGTGTTGCTCTATGATTGCGATCATGGAGATCTAACCTCCATGATTGCCATAGTCAATTTGCCTGCTAACCGTGACAGTTAGTAAATCGCCGCTATATTGCGGCATATAATATAGCGACATCAATTTTACGGGTTGATAATGAACAAAAAGAAGAATATTTTGAAACTTTTTTAAAAATTAGTATTGTGATAAAGTAATGCGACAAAAG